CCGCACTACAAAGACATTGAGGGAACATAGGTTTATACACACCGGGGTTAAGCCATACGCATGTTATTGGCCGGGATGTACATACAGGAGCAGTCAAAATGCCAACGTTAAGAAGCATTACACACAAGTGCATGAAAAAATTAAATAAATTACTAATTATTACATTTGTATAATATTACGTAAATAAATAAGTAAATTAATTAAATAAAGCTTTATTTTCAAAAATTTTAAGACAAACTTTAGTATACTTTAACTTTATGGACAATCGTAATGTAGTGAGTATAATACATGTGTAAATTGAGCTAACAGTCCCTTCAGTCCCCATAAGAGAGATAACCGTCACTCCTATGAGTGTTTGGTTTGCATTCAGTTTTGAATCAAAACTTTTGAATGAATTAATTGATTGCGTGACCAAACGGGTGAAGAAGTCCAGTGACAATCCAATGGCCAAACAGACCAAAATCACCGCATTCTTCACCTCAGTCTCAGATAATGGTATCGATTCAAGTGATAGACAATTGTCTTACAAACCAAACCACAAACTCATTGCTCAACAAAGCGGACAAAAGCGGAAAGTGACACCAAATGAAGAAGTGGTGATCAATGGTGTGAAGCGAGACACCGGTCGCACAAAGTTTGCCAGAAGTGGTCCAAAGATATGTCCCTTTTATAAGAAGATCCCAAACACTCGGTTCGTTGTGGACGCCTTCAGCTACGGCTCAGTACCGGGTATTGAGATCTACTTCTTAACGCACTTCCATTCCGACCATTACGTGGGTCTCAAGAACTTATTCACTCATGAGATCTGTTGTTCGCCAATCACTGCCTCATTAGTGAGGAATCACTTCAAAAGCGCTGTCTTTCGCGTGAATGTCATCGAAGTGAACGAAACGCGAGAAGTGTTGGGAACGAGAGTGACCTTTCTTGAGGCCAATCACTGTCCCGGAGCTGTGGTTATACTCTTTGAGTTGACCAATGGTTACCGTTATCTACATACCGGGGACTTCAGGGCCGACCACTCGTTCTTTGCATACAAACAACTCATTTGCCGACCAATTGATACTATCTTTCTGGACACCACTTATTGTGATCCCAAATACGACTTTTTACCACAAAAAGACATTCTAAAGACAATTGTCTCCATTTCTAGTGAACATAACAATAAAAACTCTAATTTACTGATAGTTTGCGGCACTTATAGTATCGGCAAAGAGAATGTCTTCATTGCGATCGCAAAAGCCCTGAATCTGAAGGTTTGGACGGATCCTAAGAAACAAGAGATTTATAAATGTTATAAAAGCGCTGAAATGAATGAATTATTAGTCCCATATAGACATCAATCAAGAGTTCACGTATTGGGCATGAATTGCTAGTTACTTTGACATTAACTTAACTTAAAGAAAACATTTCTCAAAGAAAACTTTACTTAAACACTAATCAAAAATCTCGTTATATAAGTTCTTAAGTTACCAGACATGCTGCTCCACAACCGGAAAGGGCCGACCGGTTGGGAGCACAACAAGAACTCGAAGAATGGGCTCAAGATTAGGAAATTCAAGAACATAACAATTTGTGGTCAGAATTGGTTTAATGAGTTTTACCGGTATATAAAATGTTTGACTGATTTGTATCCAACAGGTATTGAATACAGCGAACACTCGAGTTATACAGAATTAGAGCGTTTTGTGTCCTTCTTTAAGCCCAAAAGAGTGATTCCAACCGTTAATAACACAAACCAATTAAGTCGAGACAAAATGAACGCTTTGTTCAATCAATGGATCAACTCTTCCGATGATTCCGCAGACATTCAAGAAATCCCCACTTTTCGGTTTTATTTACCAAGCGAGTACTCAACCTAGTTGTTTTGTGTTCTTACACTCTTTCTTAACCTAGGTTATCAGTAACGTCTGTTAATTACGGATAAAACTTATAACTTTACTTGAAAATTATTTGTATACTCAATTGTATTAATTGAAATACCGGTTATTTTATCAATAAAATCAAAGTCTAATTGTTTACGAGTACAGTATTTGATAAAAAATTTATTATAAGAGTTTCGATTAAAGTCTTTATTCTTAAGATTCTAGAAAAGCCAAAATAAATGGTTCGCTCATGAGTTGGATCAACAAAACACAAGAATGTGAGAAAGAATTGGATCCAATAGTCATTGCAGACAATTAATGCCTATTTTGAATATTGAAATGAACTTTTAAGTTTGTATACTCAATTGATAGGCTTTCTGTAAGAGAGAACTATCTCTAAATACAAATATATGAATAGTAATTATGAGTTATATTATAAACTATAGGTAATGTATGAATTTAATGAATGGTTATGAAGGTATGAATGTATGAAAATTAGTTTTTGTATATTAATAATTAAATTAAACTAATATAATTTTTTGAATTTATATTTTTATGAATATACTGTAGTATTGAATACTAAGATAAACTTTTATCACCTATCATGCATTCATTAAATTCATACATTACCTATAGTTTATAATATAACTCATAATTACTATTCATATATTTGTATTTAGAGATAGTTCTCTCTTACAGAAAGCCTATCAATTGTATTAATTGAAATACCGGTTATTTTATCAATAAAATCAAAGTCTAATTGTTTACGAGTACAGTATTTGATAAAAAATTTATTATAAGAGTTTCGATTAAAGTCTTTATTCTTAAGATTCTCTTTAAGGTGTTTTGAACGTTGTTTCACTTGTTTGGTGTGAAGTTATGTCACATCCGAGTGAATGACTGCAATAAACAGTCGGAATGAGTCAATCCAACAGTTACTACACTTTGGTCTAAAAATATCGATTGTTTGAACGCAACTCACATCTCACGAGTCATTCATAGAATCGCTTCAATTGAGTGCAAAACACAAACAGAATATATTAGTTGTTATTCCACTGAATATTTATAATTCAATTCAATTCACACGATAAACATGTTTTCAAATAAAAATCTATTTCTGAAGTGTTGTAAATATAATAAATTGTTATTTAATAATAATCGCCGAAATATATCCCATTTTAGGAATAAATTTATTGGAAATAATTTGTTGAATTGTAATTCTGTTGATAATTTAATAGTATCTCAGAATAAACATAATTTAGATCACATTTGCCGCAACTTTCAAAGTGGCTATTATTCTTTGTTTCCGCAAAACTTCATCAGAAATAATAAGAATCTTACGAATGAAGACAATTTACTTAAGTTTGTCTCAAATTATTGTTTTAATTCTAAAAATTCAAATCTCATTATTTAAAATGATATTAATTTTCTAAATCTGTTTGTTTTGAAGAAATGACGAACTCTTCGACTATTTATTTGATTTATTCAAAGACCAAAAACAAGCCTTAAATGTCGGGAAATTTTTATCGGGGTTAGCAGAGAAGGGAATTAAGAAAACCGATCCGCGTTTGGATAAAATGGTTGAAAGACTCAAAGCTATTCTCATGGAAAGGAAAGAGAGCGGGAATATAGAGGGACTGACTCTCGATAAGGATCTCTTCAAAAGTGTATTTCAAGAGAACCTCATTCTCTTCAGCAGAGCCTTTAGACATGATTTCGTTGTCCCCGACTTCACTGATTTCTGCAAATATATCGAAGAGTTTTATTGGAAATGTAAGGCAAATATTGGAGGCAAAGTCGCCGCTTATATCCCACAGTTGGCTAAATTTAATCCGGGTATGACCTCCCAATCTTTATCCCATTTGTATTATTATTATATTATGTAATCCCATTGACAACAGAATACTGGGGCGTAAGTGTCTGTACAGTCGATGGGCAGAGATATTCAATCGGAGACACAAACATTCCGTTTACGATTCAGTCGACTGGAAAGCCTATCAATTATGCGATAGCATTGAATGAGTTGTCCTGCAATGTTGTGCACAAATACGTGGGTCAGGAGCCCAGCGGCCGTATGTTCAACGAACTCGTACTCGACTACAATCGCAAACCCCATAACCCGATGGTAAACGCCGGCGCTATCGTCATCTGCTCTCTACTCATGCATCTCATCAAAGTATTTATCGTTTCGTTTGATTTTATTTTTCAATTCTTTTCTCTATTTTCTATGAACTTTGTCTCAATTCTTTAGCCAGAGATGAGACACTCGGAGAAGTTTGATTGGGTCAGCAATTACTACAAGAGTCTGTGCGGCGGTGAGTACCTGGGCTTCAATAACGCCACTTTCCTGTCCGAGAGAGAGGCCGCCGACAGGAACTTTGCCATCGCTTACTATATGAAAGAACATAAATGTTTTCCCGAAGGATCCGTCCTCAAGGATGTCATGGATTTTTATTTTCAGGTTATTTTACTAAACTGTCATTTATTAGACAATCATTACTTATTGAAGTTAATTATGACTACAATATAGATGTGTTCATTGGAAGTGAACTGCCATTCCGTTAGTGTAATGGGTGCCACTCTGGCTAATGGAGGCATATGTCCCATCACTAACCAGACAGTAATCAACAATTCTTCGGCGGTTAGAGATTGTCTATCACTAATGCATTCGTGCGGAATGTATGACTATTCCGGTCAGTTTGCCTTCAGAGTAGGTCTTCCCACCAAATCAGGTGACAAAGCATTGAAAAAAATAACAATTCTTAAAATATAACTAAAAATGTAAAATTGTGTGAATTGTGTGGACAGGGGTTTCGGGATCAATGATGGTTGTGGTGCCTAATGTAATGGGTATCTGTTGTTGGTCTCCAGCTCTGGACACGTATGGAAACTCTGTGCGAGGGGTGGAGTTTTGTGAGGACTTGGTGTCCACATTCAACTTCCATCACTACGACAACCTCTTCCATAGCAGACATAAAATGGATCCCCGGAAGAGAGGCTTTACCTCCAGACCAAACTCTTACGGCAATAATATATAATAAGTTATTATATTAATAGTAATTATTATTAATAACTGTTGAGGTGCTTCTCATTATACTGTAGTAACTTAGTTATAATATAAATAGTAAATTGTATTGTTATTTCATCGGTAACAGTTATTGTACATCTCATTAATAAATATTTTTATTATATACCTTAAAGCATAGCAATTAATTTGCCGATAAATCATAAGATCGGTTTGTTATAAATTTTGAGAATTTATTAAAAATAAAAAATTAGTCATATATTCTGTTCACATGATACTGAATTAACTATATTTTAAAAATAAAAATATATTTAAAGAATGTGTGATATTGTAAAATAGATTCACTTTACTGTTAACACAATTTTTATCACAAAATTGTTGGCTTTTTCAGGTCAGGGATTGTTTGTGTTATTCATTTGTATTCAGTGCTAGTATTGAATTGAAGCAAATATTCAAAAACATAAGTTTTAAACATTTTTAATGTAATTTTTTCAATAAAATAAATCTGTGTATAGCAGAGTATAATATAAATATTTGAGTCTTTAAATATTAGAGTTAAAAATGCATTTAATTAATGGACAATAAATTGTGCCAAAAAATTTGCAAATCCAACGATTACAATAGAGTAGAGAAATATATATTGGATTAAAGGTATGGGTCGTCCAGTCATTCGCTTAGCCTTCAGGTATGCGAGAGGGGGGAGACTGAAGATGTATACCAGTGCTGAGAAACTACCGCAATATCGGATGATTGCACCGATATGTGGGTAATAGAGTGCAAACGACACACACAGTGTGACCAACACTGCATTCATACCAATAATATGTAAATATCCGGCGCTTGCGTTTGGGATCAATAGATGCATGACTTGTATCCGAAGCATAAGAACCAGAAGTGGGAATAGACTGAACACTTGCAGCAATAGAAAGGCACGCGTTATAAACGCCAGGATATCGTTGCTCTCAAAGTTATCCAGGAAGTTGTCTTTGAGACAATCCTTAGGAATCGGGAAACTGATATATATTAGAGAAGCAATCATAAGATAAGTGGAAGCCACCAAAATGTATGCGATTCCCAAATCTCTTCGGTTGTTCTCTGGGTTCCTATTGGTCCGCAACAGAGATATCACACAATTGTGTATAAAGAGGGCTAAACCCAGTATTCCCGACATAACCGGGAAATTCCAGTCAAACAGTTCTGTATAATGAATATCATTCTTGTCATTGAACTCAACATTAATTGGTCCCCATTTCAGGGACTTATAGGCGGCAAAAACCAGCAAATATATCACTGAAACACTTCCAACAACATTGAACTTCATGAAGAAGTTGACTGACTTTAGACTAATGATTGGCACAATCAATACGGCTAATAGGAAGGGCACCACACGATTCAGATCATTGAAGAACACATTATCACCATTGGATGTACTGTTAGTAATATCGTTGTTTTGGACACAAATCACTTCTGACATATTTGTTGAAATTGAAACGTTTTGGTTGTCTATTGATTGGTATATAAAAGTGAAGATATGCTCCAAGAAGTTAGACATTAGCACCCAATAGACAATACATCCGCCGATTAGTGTTATTAATGAGGAGAACAGAGAGAGGATGTGCGCCGTCCGACCCAACAGATGATAGACAGCGTCCGAGAACTCAATGACATTGAGTTTAACCATCTTTGGGATCGATATGATTAGGTCCGCCGTATAGAAGCAAAGGGCTGTCATGAGGGCCAAGAGGACAAAGCCCTGGACGAGACCCGCTCTGTGGAGAGCCCAGGGAAGGCACAGGAGGGAAGTGCCCATCAGCATATTCCTCTACCGTTTATACCAGTGTTTTGATGAGACAAACGCGTGACTTCACCAGTCACAGAACAACAGGTTGACCTACCGTTAAGAACCCTATATCTTTATGGTCCCTTAGTGCACTAGCCCCTAAACCTCGCGATTGCAGTCGGAGACTCCTGTCTGTGCGCCCGATAGTCGGTTATAATAGCGATATCTATTGTATACAACACTCGCTTCGTATAAGTCTTGGTTGCCGTACGAGAGATGTCCGACATTTTGCTGGTCTGGCGGGTAATGAAAGGGTCTTCGCGAGGATGCGACCGAAGAGGACAACTCATTGACCCCATGACTGAGTGTCATATAATTGCCAGGAGTTCCCGACTCTCTGTTCTCACTTCTTAATAAGAGTGGTGTCAAAGAATTGGCACTCGTCTGACCGCTTGTTAATTCATTTGCCATCACTTCCAACACATCCAACCATTCAATTGATATAGTATTTGTAAATTTGTGACAAACTAAACATTAATTTGTGATTTTATGTCTAAAAAACATTTTGTGAAACTATTTGCGTTTATTTTCAACTCACGAAAACCCACAGTAAGTTACCATATCAGTAACTTACCTATCAGTATAGTTTACGAAAAGAAAATATATTATGAACATTAGTTAAGTGCTGAAGAAGAAGAATAGTTTAGAATTGCCATAAATTGTAAACAAATTCATTAAACATTAAATAAAAAATCATTTATCAGTCGATATCGTGTTCAGTCAGCTGTCATTTCGGATTCTTTGTTGTCTTTTTATTTAAGTATAAATTATGTTGAAATGCATTTTTACTTACAGAAAACTCTGTTTGGATTTCTATTACGTTAGTTTGGTGTTTAGTTACTGATGATTGTAATCTCGATTCAAATCAAATGTGTTTTTCAGCAAAAGTTTGCAACAAATTTAGTTGTTATGAACTGCTGTTCAATGATAACACAAACATCTCGACATAAATTGCATTGAAAACTAATCTCACAGTAAACTAAATATTAATAATTGATTGAATGAGCGATCAGTGAAGACAATGGCAATCGTTGACCACAATTAAGCAATGGTTGCGTTCAATGCATTCACAGTCAATATGACTGCAAATGTTGTGTTTGTTTATCAATTAAATCACAATTTGAAGATCAATTGCAATGAACTTTTAGGGGCTATAGAGGTGTTGGCAGTAATGGCTCACTCAGTGTCCCGTTGTTTGCCATTCAATGCATTCTCAATGCATTCACTCATTCATAGCGAACGCCTCTAACGTGTGTTTGTCTGACAGAAGTTGTGCTCAAAAAACAGATGTTTTGTCTAAAACTTACTTTGGTAACTGACTAAGTAACCAAAACGACATTTACATTACTTAACAACAATATTAATTTCGTTTGAAATTTGAGGTAAGTTTAGCGATAATTAATAGTAAAATAGCTTTGAAAAAGAGTTTAATAAACTGATTTCTTGAGATAACACTTAGTTTCGCAGAGATTTGTCTGAATTAATGATTTGAAGCCATCGATGGCTACCAAGAGATCAAGAGTTGAGACAAAAACAAGATTAAGAGATAATAATCATAAGACTCTTAAGAAAAGCAAAACAAATGATAATAAATTAGATGTCATTTCGGATCAAATGAGTCCTTATTTCCAATGCAATCAATCGGTGGACAGACTTTGTGTCCAATTCTTTCGCAACAAATCCTGTATAGAGTTATCGAAAGCACTTTTGGGACAAATCCTATGCCGAAGACTATCACCGGACGGACCTATTCTTAAGGGAAGAATCGTTGAGACGGAGGCCTATCTGGGAGTCGAAGACAAATCGTGTCATTCATATGGCGGCCGAAGAACTAAACGCAATGAACCGATGTTTATGTCTTCGGGAACTACTTATGTGTACTTCACTTATGGTATGTATTATTGTTTCAATTTGTCGGCCGAAGACGAGGGATCAGTTGTGCTGCTGAGGGCTGTCCAACCATTACAGGCCATCGACTTTATGAATGAGTTTCGGACTAATTTCATGAAACGCCGGCACGAGTCCAGTGGACACACCTGTCATGAGACTAAGAAATGTGATCCCAAGCCATATAAACTGAAAGCGTTAGCCAACGGACCCTCAAAACTATGCATTTGTTTCCATATAAATAAGGATAACATGAATAAAGTGGACATAACTGACAGTCCATTCATTTGGATAGAAAGGGCCGATTGTGTCAGTCCTCAAGACATAGTTTGTGACAAACGTATTGGTCTTTCAGGTGATCACGAATGGGTTGACAAAGAGCTGCGGTTTTATATAAAAGATTGTGATTTCGTAAGCAAAAAGTGATGTCATGTTTGAAGAATTGGATTAAATGTAGTGATTGTTGTCAATATTTGTTTAGTTTGTTATATACTGTACTGTATATTGTAATACTGTATAAGTATTGATATATAAATAGTTTTTAATTACTGTTTACTGTATTTATAATCTCTCTCTTAATAGCATTGAAACTGTTTTGAGTTTTTTGTTTTAAAATTAGTTGAAAAATATGTTTAGTTTCCATTAGTCATACAAACTTTGTGTGAAATGTTTTTACTTTTCTATGCGATACCATTAGACAACATAAATTGAATTACATTTTCATTTCATTCAATTCATATATAATTTTGTTATCGAAAAGTTATAATTATATATAAATTATTACGAATTAAAATGTTATATTTTTGCGGCTAATTGTTTATAACTACGAATTTGGACAAACTATTAGTTATAATTAATATGAGTCTCCAAATGTAAGTCATTGAATGTTTTTTACGGATTCAATAATTGCTTTTTTATCACAGCCTTCGAGCCATTGATTGCATTCCTTGCACTTCTTTGGGGGTAATGTTTAATAGTTTATAGAAATGCTTTTCAAATGCTTTTAACCCGAATTATAAAATAACAAAATAAATGCATTAAAAAATATCTATAAAAAAGTTTTAGCGATTTGTACACATGAATATCCAGTAAGAATTATCACTACCAATATCATGACTGGTCTGTAATTTATCCATTGATCAGCAAAAAAGCATAGATTTTTTCACCAATGTTCCAATTCGTCACCAATTTTTAGTCTTTAATTTCCTCCTAAGTCTCGGGTTGTCTAAGGAATCGCTTTTTTGAATATTTTATTTGAATTTTTAAACTTTTAAATCAATTTTAACCCAAAATTTATGGTAAAAATGCAAAGAATAAGTGATAAATCCATTGACACGAAAGGTCTTTATATGCGCGAACAATTGGCTCTTATATTGAATTGAGTGGAGAATAAAAAATAATACTTATATTGAGTACAACTGAGACTATGATGCCATCCCAGCCCACAATCCATCATAAATATACATAAGTATTAAAAAGATCAACACAACAGCGGTCTGACTCTGACTCACATGAAGGCAGACCACTGTTGTTGGAGGAACTGGTGCTCACAAGACCTGAGGTTCAACTATAATCCCAATGTGTTTCCTAAAGAATAGGGCGAATATGCAGAACAGAGGGAACGGTATCTTTAATATAAGGCATCGAATATAAAAAATTTCTTGAGTTGAGGAACCGCTAAAAGAATAAACAGTTGGCCTCTCCTCTGATTCAATGATAATATTTTGACGATTTCTTGTTAACTCAGTATTTGAGCGCAAATACTATATAAGTCTCACATCTTCTCTAGTATTTACAAATGTATTATTCAATTGACTTTATAAGTGATTCTTAGGCAGAATAGGTCTTAACTTATCAATTATGGCTTCAAAAGATTTATCAAACGTATTATCATTGACTTAATGGTCATTTATATAACACTACAAATGTATGGCTAAACTGATTAGTGGGGGTGGGGTGACTCAAAGACTCCATCCGAGCACTTATTTAGCAAATATATTGCTTTGAAATACCAAATGACACTTAAATGCCTAGAAATAAGAAATGTTTGGCGACAACTCGCTGTCAAAACAGGATATTCGTGAAATTCAATCAGAAAAAAGTTTATACAAATATTTTGATTTGATATTTGCGATAATTTATAAATTATTAATTCAAATAGTCTTTGGATGCTTGAAGTGACTTTCAAAACACTTTCACATCAATTCATAATAAATCGCGAGAGAAATGTTTACGTGTAGTAAATGTTAGGAAAAAATTTATTGGTTTTTCTTTTTTTTACTTTCGATGCAACAAATGGTTGCATAAAAGTTTTGAAAGTTTTTATTGTTTGCACTTGTATTGAAAGCGCCGTACTATTCATTGGTGGTCTTACTTTCGCTTTTCATGTCTATTATATTTTGGTTTTTAGTTTTTTTGAGACTTATTTCCTGTGGTTTTCATTAAGTTTAAGATAAATTATAAATGAGTTAACCTTCATATGATTAAACGCAAGGAGTCTCAAAGTGGTTGTGTTGTTATTAAATGTGATTTATTATTGAAATGTTGTGCATATTGTGTGCGTGTAGGGCACAGGTAGGGTCTAACAGGGCTAACACCACCACAACTCTGTGATTATCTTTTTTTTGGGTAAGATTTCGCTCTTAAAGATCAGTAGTTCATGGATTGTCTGTCGATCAGTCTTAGCATATCTCTCATTCATGCATTCATTAGTTACCCTCTCTTTCCTCCCGGTGCCCATCAATTGAATCTATAATTTCTAGCATTCCATTGACGGTTACGTGAACCAAACTCTCAAACATTTCAATTGGTAAACGACTGGAGTATAGCTAAAGGGAACAACTTTTCACATCTGGTTTACTGTACTGTCAGTGAATGCGTGGGTATTATAGCACTTATAGCACATAACTCTCAAACTGTCCTCAGATTACAGACTCGACTCTAACTTATGTCTCAAATCCTGTCGCGTTTTATGCATTCAGTTATGTTTTCCTACAAAAGACAACTCATGTTAACAATAGTTTTAATGTCTTAACCTTAAAATCTTTGTTAACAAAATATATTGCGTTTAATTATCTGACGGCACAAAAAGCATATAATTTTTTAGCAATTTCTTTGCCGGTTCTCAGCTCATGGTTCCGTCTAATGGTTTATACCGTTGTCTTAGTCTTAGATTAGTTATAGTTATAGTTAGCGAGTGATTGAGCGCATGGAGGGGAGAGTGGTGTCGGGAAAAGATTAAGCAAAGACTACCCTAAGATGTACTCCTCCTTCAAAGGCGTACTATTCGTGTTGTTTGCAGTTCTCTCCCATTCTCTCTCTCTTTCTCTCTCTCTCTCTCTCTCTCTCTCTCTCTCCATTCTCTCTCTGATAGCATGAGCTGAGAGTGAGAGTCCTGTGCTCTGTATAACTGCTATTACTGTACACTGAATCCAGTGAATGAAGAACTTTGAGTTGAGTTTATGAAAGTTGTTTTGGGCTAAACTCTCAAACCATTAAAATACAGTTCAGTTCAAGTCTTTTAATGTGAGTCTCCATAAGAAAAGCTTTGGAGGCATTGGAGGCAACACTCATAGCACAGGTATTAGTCATCGATCAGCAAGAAATTCAAGTACCCGACCAATACGTTGAGTAAGTTTTGAAAACACTTTTATCCCTGTCTTATAACTTATAACTCGTGTATCGTCTCATTTGGATTGAATTGTGTAACACTTACGTGACGGCTCCTAATTAGACATACAGTGCCAGTGACTGACTCGCTATAACCAAAGTTACAGATACCGTATAAAAGTCTATAGTCTATGAGTGAAAGTTCCGTAGACTATAGTCTACTTTCTCTAATGTTTTGTAATTTAGTGTTTTGTTGAGGCAATTGCCAAACAGGTGTACTACAGGATCACGATTATTATTATTATGCCATTAATATCAAGTTTAGAGCACATCCTATGCTTTAAATTCAAAAATTTCTGTTTTCGTATATCGTTATAAAGTAAGTGAAAGTTAAGCTAATCTTTGCTCTCATATAATAGACATTTTGTAAATCAAGTTCTTATAAACAATTTTATAGACTATTTATTTGGAAATCTATTAAATGTGATCCCAATGTGATTAGTGAGTGATATAATGAATGTTTTGTGTCATTTGTGGCATTGATTTGGTGTATAAGCCATGAGGTGTATGTCCTCTTTGGCGCCAATTATTTCTCGCAAAAGTGACTCAAATTCTCGGTTCTCTTTTCGCGTAGGCTTTGCTATGATTTTTTGCAGTCTTTTCAGACACTTTGTCCTCTTATCAGATCTAAAGTTCAGGAATTGTATGAAACATATATTAACCCAAACTTTGAGGTTAAGGTCGAAAACTGTTCACTACTTCTCATCTATAGGTTCTAATGAATGGTAATAAACTTATGGCTCTCATTGTGTTCACACTATTTGGTCGACACTTGAGAACCATATATGAATTGTTTCTATCATGAAATGCGTGAAATGCTTTTGATTATAGTTTTAAATTTCCAAAACAAAAGTTTAACTTTCAATGAAAATATAAATATTTCTGTATTTAAATATTTGTCAAACATTTAGTACTGAAGAGGTATAAAGATTTCGTGAAATATAAGTAAAAATCCGCGAATCGTCAGAAGAATGTGAAGATATTTGAAAGAAATGCAAACTATTTTCGCTTTGATATCATAGGAGAGATAGCAGTGAATGAATTCTCACAAACAGACACTTCCTTTAGTGTTAGGTGCGGTCAATCACAAGCATTTCTTAATGAATTAGAAAATAAATATCAATCCCTATTCCCTACCATTCCCTACCTGTTCTGTAATTGAGAGCTCTCTATAAATACCTGACTTTCAGTGTATATAATATTTATATCTTTTAGTGAATTATTTTTAAATAAAATATAACAATAAATGCATATAAGAGTGAGTGAGTGTTCCGTCAATCATAATAATAAGCGCAACAAATAATACAATAAATGTTAAGAACTATTATATAATATCTTAAAAAAGTTCTTTTAAATAATACTAACAAAAAGTAAATCTAAACGTCTTTTTCAAAAAGTGTGAACTTTTTTGTCATTTATTAGGAGGAGGAAGAAGAACGAGAAGAAGATTTTATTGAAAAACTCTTGGATTTCATTGTGTTTCTCATTGAGAGTGCGGTATATTGTGTTGAATTTGTGTTGGGATTCCTGTACTCGAACTCTAGGGTCCTATCCTTTGCACGTTTGGGTCATTCCCTTCAAGAAATTTATATGATTTCCAAATATAATTAAAGTTAAAACAGTGTATAATAATATCAAGTGAATCAAATCTCATATGAAAATACCTTTAATAATTATTTGAAGTCTGTTTTATTGCTGAAAATTCAGAAATTCATTACAAGTGAACGGATGTTATATGACATTAATGAGACATTTATGACATTAATGAATATTTGTGACCGAAAAGTGCATAAAACCCACAGTGTTTCCACATATTACAGTCAACTGTAAGACATTAAAGGATATTATTTGTTATATTTATGCAATTCTGTAGTGGAGTTGAACTGAAAACTACTATTTTCTGGTAATTTTTAATTTTAATAAGAAGTGACGAAAGAAGAAAAGGCAAACACTTTGGAGTGAAATCATAGTGAAGAGCATAAACTGAACACAATTCATAATATATTGCTCCCGACCGACGAGTTCTGCAAATATTATCTGCAAATGCGAGCCATTCTTCACTACTTGTGAGATACTATTCATTCATATAATTCATTGCCTTCTTATTTATTCGCCAAAACCCCTCTCTCTTGAGTACTGCCGACAACAACCAGTGAACACAAAAGTGAATGCTTTTTGAATTTTGTAGTTTTTAACAAAATAAATCTATTTTTCATGTCTGCCTCAAACTTCAACACTTGTGGCTAAATAGTGAGAGAAGAGTAATAGTCTAATAGAGTACGCCCTGAGACTAACATACTGTCCGCCGGATCCCATAGACTGTGTGCACAACCGGTGAAGAAAAGTTACTTTACATACGATTTATATTCTCATAGACTATAAGAATGACTTAAAAGTGAATGAGAGTTAAGGACTCATCAAAGACTCCGAACCGTTTGGATACAAAAAACTGTTCACAACTCTGGAGACCTTGAATTGAATTAGTTCTCAGAGATCGTCAAACATCTCATATACTGTTCACTCACTTCATAGAGTACTTCAATATTACGATACGTAAGCT